GAGGCAGGAGACTCGCTTGAGCCCAGGAGTTGGAGGTTGCTGTGAGTTGTGATGTCATGGCACTCTACCCAGGGGGACAGCTTGAGGCTCTGTCTCAAAAACAAAAAAACAACGACAAAAAAGAAGAATTTTGATTTTGTAGTTGGATTAATGTTATTATACTTGATTGACAGTGATGGGGCTTGGAGTCATGTTGCACTGGAATCATGGTAGTGGTGGGTTGCATGATTGGGATTTGGTGTTGATCTGCCTATGGTTGGGCTGGTAGGGCTATCGGGAGTTCAGTGGAGGTGTGGTCAGGGAGTATGGTGTTTAAAGTCATAAGTATGGGTCAACTTGAAGCCTGAGTTATGGTGGAGATAAGGGAAGTATTGTTGGAATGATGGAGTTCGGAGTTGGAATTTTTTGTATTGGCTGTATGGTTCCAATTGCAGTTGAGTTTAGGGGGTACAGTGGGGTGTGGGGTCACGGTATTAGGGTGGTGTGCACTGAGTAATGGATTCCTAGTCATAGGAGTTGAAGCCACCATTGAGGTGGAAGGTGAAATGGCTGGAGTGGGGATAGATAAGAATTCTGGTGGATTCTCTTGGAGGTAATTATGCTGACCATCTTCCTTTTCTCAGGAGGGCCTGGTGTGCAATGGAGGTAGTATATGTAACCTTTTGCTTGTATGGGTTGCTCTAAGGGACATTACTTTCTGATACATGTTCATGTGTTAGACCTTATGCTGTATAAAATATATTAGATTTAAAAAAAAGAATTTTGGTGGATTCATTTGGAGGTTGTGGAGGTTGTCAATTGGACAACCTGGATTGGTGTTGGATGTTTAGTGGAAGTGGACTTAAGGTGGAAAGTTGGTGTTGGCTCGGCACCTGTGGCTCAAGCGGCTAAGGTGCCAGCCATGTACACCTGAGCTGGCCGGTTCGAATCCAGCCCAGGCCCACCAAACAACAATGACAGCTGCAACCAAAACATAGCCGGGTACTGTGGAGGGTGCCTGTAGTCCCAGCTACTTGGGAGGTGGAGGCAGGAGACTTGCTTGAGCCCAGGAGTTGGGAGGTTGCTGTGAGCTGTGATGCCATGGCACTCTACCCGGGGCGACAGCTTGAGGCTCTGTCTCAAAACAAATAAATAAATAATAAAGAAAGAAAGTTGGTGTTAGGGCAGGAATTAGGCTCAGGAGAGCTTGTGGGGTTGTTTGACTGGAACTTTCCTTTAGTTTGACTGAAGTCGGGAGTGGAGTGCATTGGGCAGGTGTTGGGAGTTGTGGTTGAAGCTCTGCTTGTAACTGGGAATTCCTGGTGGAGCACAGGGATGGATGCAAACTCTTTTCCGCCTTAATCCTCCTCTCTACCTGCCCTTCCCAAGAGCATAGCAAACACCACACACCCAGTTCACACATCTTTATTGGCCTGGATGTGGGGTCACCAAACAGGCTGCCCCTGTCCTGCACTAGCACAGCTGTGGAGATCTTCACTCTCGTTCCTGAGGGAGACCAGCTCCCTGCTGGAAGGGGTCAGAAGTCAGAGGATGTCATGGTTGCCTTGGATCCCCAAGTCTGACTGGAGAGAGATCCATACTTGTGCCTCAAGTCCTTCTCCCCTGTCCTTCTGAACCTGCGCTTGAGATGTTGTCCCGTCTGGAACAGAGAGGCCACATCCAACAGTGCGTCCTCGATGTGCTGCCCCAGCCTGTGGGAGTCCTAGGAGGAAAAACGCATCAGGTCTAGACGAAGGTGGGAGAGGGGATCCTGGGGGTTGGAGAAACAAGAAGGCTGGGGACCTGGACCCTGGAGTCTGAGGGGACCGAGGTCTGAGGTAGGAGGGGCTGGGGGTACTCCAGTTTGTCTCACCGTTTTTGTGCTTGATTTTTTGCTGGAGATGTGGAAAGTGATCATATCATTCCCCATGAAGATATAAGAAACACCATAACCATGGTCATCAGCCTACAGCGGAAGACAGAGAAAGGAACAAAATAGTCCCTGGTCCTTCCTCCCCCACTACGCAGCGGTGCAGGCCCCAAGCCCTTCTTTCCTCTGGGCCCAGCTCCACTCACAGGCCCAAATCCACCACCCGAAGAAACATAATCCGGGTAATTGTGGACGTCAAACAGGTGCATTTGCTGAACAGGGATTTGGCTGGTGGACAGCTGCCACTGCTCTGAGTAAACCTGTAGATGGGAGACCGTCACATGTGCAGGAAACAGACATCAGGTCTACGCTCCCACGCCTGGCTTTCTCACTGCCCCTGTCAGTGTCCCCTAATCCTGGCCCCGCCTCGCTCCTCCTGACCACGCCCCACAGGCCAGCCCCCTCTGCCCGCTTCCCCTCTTTCCGTCTGCCTTTCTTGCCCCTGCTGCCTCCCAGACTTCTCTTCTGTCCATGCCTCCTTTCCCGGCGCCCTTGCCCTGAAGGCTCTCCCTTCTTCGGTGGTTCCCCACTTCCCTTTCTAACCCTTTCTCTGTGCTCCAACCTGGGCCAGGAAGGGCGACTGCAGGTGAAGGAATCTGGACACTATGTAGAGAGCGAAGAGGTGGCGGTCGGCTCCCTGACCGCTCATCGCTGCCTTTAGCAGGGCCTGATGCTTGTCCACCGCCTCGCGGAACAGGGTGAGGCACTGCGGGTCCTGGGGTCCCCCGGGAAGCCACAGATCATGGAAAGACAGCAAATGGGCTTACTGCTATACTTGTGGCACACCAGGCCTCAACCCAGCTTGCTAAATCCTTGCAAGGCAGAGATAGCAAGCCCAATTTACAGAGGGGAAACAAGAGGATCCGAGAGGGTAAATCACTAGCCTAGAACCAGGTGGGTCCCTAGATCTTTCTGATTTCACAGCCAAATACCTTGCACTGAACTACAATAGGTGGGAGCAGAAGGAACAGAGGTTCCTGAGGTTATGGGGAATGGTGCCAAGTGGAAGTCACAGGTCACACAGAGATTAAATAAGCAGAGGCCCATTGTGGAAGTAGGGCCCCTCTTGGGCGCTCCCAGTCCCCTGTATGACCACCACTGAGGCACACACCACACTCTGCTGGGTGCACTGTCTCCCCATCAGTAAGCTCCTGGAGGTCAGATAGCAGGGCTACTCATCCCTTGTCCCTAGTGCCATCACAGAGCCTGGTCTCAGTAGATGTTCATAGATCTTGCAAGCCAATGAATAATACACGGAAATGGCCCATGCTGCTGCCAGCGAGGCCTGCACCCACCGTCTTCTCTTTGTCCTCCATGGCTCTCACGAAGCTGCAGGCTTCCCTTGTGCAAGACCTCACTGTCTCTGTCCGGCCTTCCAGGAACAGGCGAGTCATGGCCGACTCGTAAGTCAAGCAGAATTGACCCCTGTCCTGGAGGACAAGGAGCAGAGATGTCTGTCAACTGGGCTCAGGACCAACAATGGCAATGACCTAGAGTAACCAGGAAGAGGGCAGGTCTTGAGGGCACAGGTGGACTGAGATCCCGAGGGGGTGAGATGGGGAACTCAACTGACCCGGAAATGGGCCAGCTGTAGGGTTATCTGGATGAAGCTGTCTGAAGAGAGGTGGCAGCGTCTGATGAAGCTCTTGCCGAAGTGGGAGAAGGGGAGGACATGGCAGTCGATGTTTTCTGACAAGGCCTTGGCTCCCCTCAGGGCTAGAGAGATAGATGGGTGGATCTGCCAGAGGGGGAGGGAGGGAGGGAGGAGGTAGGGGTTATGGATGGGGGTAGGGTTGGAGCTGAGCATCAGGCTGGGGGGCTGGATATGAAGGGGAGGAATGTGGAAATGGGGACAAAGAAGGGAATCAAATGGGACTGGATTTAGGAATGAGGACAGAAGTAGGATTGAGAGCAGTTTGGGATTGGAAATGGAAATGGAGCAGGGAATGGGGTGGGGTGTGGGGACTGATGTGAGGCTGGCAATGGGTCATGATTGGAGACAGTACAGGGCTTGGGCTTGGAAGCAGGGTTAGGGATAAGGTTGATTTTGAGGTAGAGATTGGGGATGAGTTTAGAATCAAGGCCAGAAATTTCAGGACTTGAAGAAAAGGCCCAGAAACCTAGCCTTACCTGGTCTGGAAGGTCCCACTGGAGCCGCCGGGGCCAGGGGAGCATGGGGTCAGGATGTCCCTTGCAGTGACCATCTGCTGAGTAGCCCAGCTGGAAGCATTCTGTGGCCAGGGTGAACTGCATCCAAATGGAGGCAGTCAGAGTCCCTTCCTCCTCTGTACCAAGGGCACCTAGCCAGGGACCTCATTTCATCAATCCCTTTGGGGGTGGGGGCAGTCCCTTCCCTGGTTAATAGACATCTCTGATGTTTACAGATGGGTCTCATTGTCCATAACCATCAAGAATGAGACTAACAGTAACTGGTCTTTACTGATCTGTACTTCTGACCAGTAGATGACCAGTGGCCACCCCTCCCTTCCCAAGAATCACCCTATCCCACCCTATGTCCCTGGGACTGGAGAAATGGAGAATAGTTTGGGACTCCCAGGGTAGCATTTATTCTAACTGAGTGGTGCCCCATATCCTGCTGGCTATGGAATATTCTAAACCAGCCCTAATCACCCACCTACCCCTGACCAACCCTCTTTTTTAGATATAATTCTCACAGTGACCTTAGGAAGAAGGGATGAATACACTCACTGTGAGGTTAGAAATATAATGGGAGAGGCTCGGCACCCGTAGCACAGCGGTTACGGTGCCAGCCACATAGACCCAGGGTGGTGGGTTTGAACCCAGCCTGGGCCTGCCAAGCAACAATGACAACTGCAAAAAAAAAAAAAAAAAAAAAAAAAAAAAAGGCTTGGTGCCTGTGGCTCAAGTGGCTAAGGCGCCAGCCACATACACCTAAGGTGGGGGGTTCGAATCCATCCTGGACCCGCCAAACAACAATGATGGCTGCAACCAAAAAATAGCCAGGCGTTGTGGCAGGCACCTGTGGTCCTAGTTACTTGGGAGGCTGAGGCAAGAGAATCGCTTGGGCCCAAGAGTTTGAGGTTGCTGTGAGCTGTGGTGCCACGGCATTCTACCAGGGGTGACATGAGATTCCGTCTCAAAAACGAAAGAAAACAAAAAAAATGCTCAGTGGCCTGTAGCTCAAGCGGCTAAGGTGCCAGCCACATACACCTGAGCTGGCGGGTTCGAATCCAGCCCAGGGCCACCAAACAACAATGACAACTACAACCAAAAAAAAGCCAGGCATTGTGGTGGGCATCTGTAGTCCTAGCTACTTGGGAGGCTGAGGCAAGAGAATCGCTTAAGCCCAGATGAAGGTTGCTGTGAGCTGTGATGCCACAGCACTCTACTCAGGGCGACAGCTTAAGGCTCTGTCTCAAAAAAAAAAAGGAAAAAAGAAATTTATTGGGAGAATACCTCCCTTTATCTAATTCTACATTACATCTCTTCCTCGGCATGAGGCAATATGCAAAGATAGTAGGACAGCATGAAGTGATGTGAAGGGTCTCAAGTGAAACTGAGTTAGCGGTTTCATTTGCAAATAGAATTAAAAGAGAAAAATTCCCATTTTACAAACAAGAAACAGACACAGAAGGGCCAAAGGTTGGCCAGTTGCAATAGCTGGCTCGCTCCTATAATCCTAGCACTGTGGGAGGCTGAGTAGAAAGAATGCTTGAGCTCAGGAGTTCAAAAGTAGCCCAAGCAAGAGTGAGACCCCATCTCTCCTAAAAATAGAAAGGTGAGAGGCTGCCTTGTAGTCCCAGCTACTCAGGAAACTGAGGCAGGAGGATCACTTGAGCAAAAAGGAATTTGAGGTTGCTGGGAGCTATGACTCCATAGCACTCCACCCAGGGCAACAGAGTGAGACTCTGTCTCAAATAAATATAAAATGAAAAATAGAATGGCAGCGCCTGTGGCTCAGTGGGTAAGGCGCTGGCCCCATCTACTGAGGGTGGTGAGTTCAAACCCAGCCCCTGCCAAACTGCAACAAAAAAATAGCTGAGCATTGTGATGGGCCCCTGTAGTCCCAGCTACTCAGGATGCTGAGGCAAGAGAATCACTGAAGCCCAAGAGCTGGAGGTTGCTGTGAGCTGTGACGGCACAGCACTCTACTGAGGGCAACAAAGTGAGACTCTGTCTCCAAAAAAAAAAAA